TTCAATATCTCCCTATGGAAAGAAATTTACGTTTTTATTGTTCGTGTCTTTGCCCTCGTCATTGTTGAAAAAAAATCTAGAACGAAATAGAATCTGCAAAGTGGAGTTGTAAGCTTAAAAGATGATGGTCTGTTACAAGCTACCAAGAAAAACTTACCATCATTTCTCTATATAACTCTCGTAGTATTTTTCCGCTGCTATTTTAAGCAGTTCTATAGGGGCATCATCTCCTGCTGTTCCTACAAATGCTGGCAGCGCAGACTGGTTTGGTCAAGTGCAGAACTCGAAAGGTTCTCGCATTGGTTCGCAGCCCATGTGGACTTCATTGAGCACTAGTGCTGGTGATTCTGCTCTTGGATCATCTCAACCTTCGTGCAGACCCTGGGAAAGAGGTGATTTACTGAGACGCCTCTCAACATTCAATCCTGCAAATTGGTTTGGAAAGCCCAAGGTTTGAACTTGTTCTTCCTTTGATAATCATGTTGGATGAAGTTTCAATCTTCCATGGCAGTGTTACCATGTTTTCTAAACATAAATGACTTGACTTTTCATTGCTCTTATGTTTACATACCTTTTTCTTTTTTTCTTTTCATATTTCACATAAAGGGGGCTTATGGAAGTCGTTTTATTTTCTTCGGAGATTAGCATTTCTGTTCATCTAGATGCTAAGTTGACGAGATTTGTGTTTATATATTTCTTTTTGTGTTATTTTTGATATAGGCTGCTAGTGCTCTGGCCTGTGCCAGAAGAGGATGGGTGAATGTGGATGTTGATAAAATTAAATGTGAATCTTGTGGTGTGAATCTGAAGTTCATTTCATCAGCTACCTGGACTCCTTCTGAAGGTGAATCAGGCTGTTAATTGTTAATTTTTGCAATTATGTTCTCTTGCTGTTCTCATTATTTAGATTTATAGATGCTTCAAGAATCTGAAGATTTTTAGATTGTTCTCGAGGTTTCTTGAAAGAATCTTCTATTTAGTGATGAATTTTTAAGTTCTAGGTTCCTTTTGAACATTCTGAAGATCAGTAGAGCCATTATTAACATCTTCAACAGGATGTTAGTGGTTTCCATTTG